TGCTCTTGCGGGTGGCCAGCTCTGGCTACTTCTAACTATTCCTAGTAAGTCCTCTCCCTATTTCTTGGAACTCCACGGTTTTCACTTGCTTGGGATTCAAATGAATAAATTTTTCACTGCAGGTGTAGGAATGTAACCTGGCAAGGAAAACTTGCTTTAAAGAATTGCTTGTCCTGTGCCTTCTGACCTGTGATCTACTACTTAATCTCGTATAGCTCATTTTAAAAATGACTTCCATCTGATGATATACTTAAAAATGTTAAGCAGGAAAATATGAGTATCAGAACTGTTTTTTTCTTGCTCTAGCCTATTGCTGGGGAAGAAGAGGAACTTTTGTTGAGCTCACGATTATATTTCTTTTTTCTTTTTTTTTTTTCTTGGTTAAGAACTTGCATTTTCTTCTCTTTTTTTTTTTAATATATTTTGACAATCTTTACATAATTAATTAGGGTAAAAAGGTTCAAGGGCTGCAGGAAAGTGGGTAAGGCTATTATTTTTTCCATATTGTTTCCTTCATGTTTAAAGGGGGGTATTAAGGGAGAAGGCCCACCCAATTTCCCACCCTCCCCAGGTCCCGGATGTAGGGTATGCTCTGAGGTTCTTGCTCAGGTGGCTTGATATTTCAACAGTTATGAATCGCTGCCAATCTTGCCACTCCAAGCACTATGAGGTCTTTGAAGAATCCACTGGTTGACACAGTCCACCATAGAGTCTCTGTTTGCCCAATATTTCGCTGTCTTCTCTCTTTTCTTGGTTAGGGTTCTGAGTCCAGCATTTTGATTGGGGAGATCTCCAAAAAGAAACTTTGTCTGAGGTGTGCTCAAGCCAGATTCTTGTATGTGCTAGCAAGTACAGGGTTCGGCTCAGACCATCGCCCCATCAGCCGGTGGTTGCAGTTGCTGGGTTGGTTCTGTATTCACTCCCGACTTCCACTGGAATCAATGGGTGTTGCAGTTCAGCCTGGTGCTGCCCAGCACATACTCGGCCCTCACATAAACCAGTGGGAGCTGCAGCCTAGTTGGAGCAATCCACAATAACCCCCACCAGGCCCATCCCCTACCCTGGTTTGCCAGTATGTGTAGCAGTAGTCCAGTCTGTCCCACACCCCATTCTACCCCAGCCACTGTCCTAGTTTTATGCCCTCCTGTGGAAGTGGTAACCCAAGAGGGAGGAGCCCACTATTTCCCTCCCAGGCCTCTCCCACTCCCAGATTATGAACTCTCCGGGTAGTTCTGTGGTTTGACTTGACAGAAATTAGGCCCCCAGTGCCAGCTTCTTGCCAGCTGATGCTGTGGCTAAGCCCAAACAACCCTCACCCACTCTAATTTTGTTTGCACCAGTAGGAATAATCAGCCCAGCCCAGCTTTTCCCTGATCTAGTCCACATGAGGCACACAGGTGTTGTAGCCCTGCCTAGTCTGGTCTGCCCCCATCCCAGCCCATGTTCTCCAGTGGGAGTAGCTGTCTAGCAAAGGAACCACCCCTTATTCCCCTGCTGGCACTGCCCCCTTGTTCTCACGCCTGCTGGTTGGGTGCTGCGGTCACTTCTAGCACAGGCAACCTCATCTTGGCATTCCATATTGTGCCATAGTCTTTGTTGCAACCAAACCTGGCTCAACCCATACTGTTCTGGTGCTTGGATTTGCCAGTAGATGACATGGACAGATTCAGCCTGGTCTGCTCCTGATCCATGCCAAATGTATGCTAGTGGGTAACTCCCATGGCCTGTTCTGGGCTGTTTCCTATCATGTTTCTTGCCCTTACCTGCCAGGTCTGTGTCCTGCCAGAGGAGCTGCCCAGGCTCCTCCATCAGAACCTCTCCCAATGCCAGATTTGGTGCATACCAGTGGGTCCATGAGCAAGCCCTACTCAGTTCACCTCCTGTCTTAGCAGGAACAGTGGCTTTTCCTGACTGGCCTTCAACCCAAACTGGTTTTTGCTGTTGGATGTTTCAGCCCAGCCATGGTTTGTCCATACCCACATATGGCTCACACATGGCTCAGTAGGGATTGAGCCCTTGCCTAGTCTGTCCCACATCTATCCTGGTCCTGCAGGACACCAGACGGTGTTGGGGTCTGGCCTGGCTTGGCGCATCCAATCCCAGCCCACACTTGTGCCAAGGGAGACTACAACTGTTTCCCGATCAGAACGCAGCACCCATTCCAAGTCACACACCCCTTGGTGGGAACCTCAACCCAGCTAGGGTTGTCCCCTTAGGTTCCCCATCCGGGCCTGTTCCCAGACATAGATCATGCGCATGCAAGTGGTTGCTCTGACTCATCTTGCCACAGCCCCTCACCTGTCCCGACCTCTGCCTTAAACACTGTGGTGTAGCGTTCCTGGCTTACGCAGACCAGCAGGTACAAGAGCCTGCATGATCTGTGCTCCCTCCTGGTCTTTAGTTTTGCTTGTGGGCTAAGGATTGCCCAGACCTACTTGATCTACCCTGTTCCATTACCAATTGACACATTTGCCAGCTGTTGGAGCTACTTTTCCCAGCTTGTCTGACCCCCAGGTCTGGACCACATGTTCACCAGCGGGAGCTATGACTCGCCAAGGGAGTTTCCCAAATGCCTCCATGTAATCCACTCCCAGACCCAGTTCTCATACATGTCATCGGGTTTAGGCCAGTGCCCTACACAGTCAGGCCTTCCATTTGGCCTTGTATGAGCTGGTGAGCGTCGCAGCCCAGCCCACCCCACACCCTAATCAGGATGTACACTCGGGTACTGCTGTCCTGACCAGTCCAGACTGTTGGGGGTTCCTTTACCTGTGATTGATGGCAGGCTCCTTGGTCACACCTAGCTTAGTCCATCACCACCCCAACTCTTGAGATAACCAGTGGGGCTAAAATTTTCACAGGATGTAGCCCACACATCCCTCACAGAATTTACCCCCGGTTATGATTCTTGAGTGCTAGTTAATGTAATGGCTTGCTTAATGTGACCCTTCTCCTGATCCATCATCATGTCACTTACCATGACATAATTCTGAAGGACAAGCCCCAAGCCATAGCTTTTGCATGGACTTGTAGTTGGCAGTCAGCATTGTTCAGTGATTACAAGTTTTACAAAGGAAGAGTTACTGTCATTGGGAATCTTTACCAATGCTTCATGTCATAGAACAATGGGTTCAACCTGGAGCTAACTAAGAAGTGACTCAAAGAACCAAAACCCCAGAGCTTCCCGGCTGGGTGAACAGCAGGCAGAGCCTGGCACCAAATGGTGCACTGGCTACCCGGGGACAGCTCACCACGTGCACATGGTGGCTGTCATCTGCTCCCAGTTATATTTCACCAGGTTCTCTCCTAGCCTGTGAGTAAGAAATATAAGGCCGAATAACACTTTAGGGTTTGAGTAGCAAATAGTTCATGAATTGAAAACATCAATGGAAAGAGACTTCGTGTTCTGATGACCAAATGTTAGAGGCTAGTTTTTATGGGAAAAATATAGAAGCTAAAAACATGATCTGGTTGGGTATTGTTACAGAATTTGTTAGTTTACCTTGATGGTGGTTTTACTAGTCACATAATCACACGTTGGTGGATGCTTAAAATTTGCTTAAATTTTCTGACATAAGCATTTACTAGAAATTATGCAAATTAAGTTTTGCTTATGTTTGCAGTTTAAACAAAGATAAGGTTATTTTTAAGGCCTAGTTAATTTTGTTTGTTCCTGGATTTTTTTAATGCCAGATCCATTTCCATTTTAACAATATCATCTTATTATGTAGCCCCTAGAAATACTTCCAGAAGGAGATAAAAATAAGCTTTTCATATTTATGTTTTCCTATGTAAAACCGAGGTATTCAGTATTCGGCAAAAGTAAAAACCTTACTGCATTTACAAAAATGACCTTAAGGGGACTGTGGTTGTCTGCTCCTATCCAAGTTCTAAGGTTTTTCTGTAGTGACTGGCATGAAGTAGGCATTCATTAACTAATTATTGATAATGTTATCTTCAGCGTGACATAGCTAGGAAATGGAGACTTTCAGAAAGATGAAAGGAAAAAAAAAAACACACCTTGGGGAGCAAAGAAACATATCTGCATAACTAACCATGAAATGAGAAATGGCATTGACTTCCGTGTCATAGCACTTTTGTTCCAAGGGTACCTGACATGTTATCTTGTGTCTTTTCACCAAATCCTGGAAACATTCTTGGCAAGTAAGGGAAACTGAGGCAAGAAATGATTCAGTAAAGACCACCCATACAACTCCAGGGAGAGGCATCTCTATTTCTACCCCTAGCCTATTCCTTCCCATGCCTCCACCCCTCTACCTGGGCCCCAGAGCCTTTGGGTGCACTGTCTTCAAGTACCTCTACAGAACAAGCTTGGGACCCCCAGCCCCATCTCCACCACCCAGGAGCAAACTGTCCTTAAACTCAGCAAGGAAGATGAACTCAAATCCACCTTGGGTTCTTAGTTAATGATGGGGCTAGAGAACAACCTAAAATTACTGACAGAGGTATGATGTTGAGACATGGAAGAATCTGCCTTTCCCCTCAAATCTGACCTTGAATGTGTATTGCAATATACCTAACACTGAAATAAATTTAATTGTAAAGAAGCAAAATCTTGAGTAAATGCTTTGCCCACATTTATCTATTGTCATTATAAGAGAAAACAAAAGACTAATAATTTTAGCTATAGCCTCTGATATAAGATTTACTTATATTAGTGTATTTATTGTGTCTTTCTATCAGAATCACAGAGTAAGAGTTACAAGGGCAAAGCTGAACCTCTACAGTTCATGTGGGAGATTTCTACACTGAAGATCTGTAGTCCCTAAACCAGAAGCCTTTGCAAAGTTTGCAGGAGATTCTAAAATACAACCCTGTTGTTAGTTGGCCTGGGAACCTGTTTGCAACCCAGAAGTATTGATTAAATACAGATTATAAAATGTCCTCAGTTGATTTTTTTCTCATTTGACATTAGGCTTTCTTGATTTAAGAAGTGAGATGTAATGGGGACTTGTTTTTAATTAAATTTACTTACTTACCTACAGGAACCACTGAGATATTGGTTACATTCCATTCACACTGTTGATTTCTTTCCATAGAACACTTTTGTTAATCTTCCTTGGATGCAATTAGTTGTCCCAGGTTTATCTTGCAGGTTCCACAGCTAATTTCATTGTACAAGCATTTTATTGATATGTTTTGCTGCTCAGAACATCCTTCCTACTGAAAATTCATTGATAACGCCATGTTACATAGTGTACTTCTATTTGTGAGTGGAAAGAAGCTAGGGATCGATGGAAGGACGACATGGGGGTGTCTATAAAATACTCTTCATAATGGCAGTGTTGTTAATAAGACCCAACTACCGCATTTTGATACAATTATGGTGCTGTGGTTGGCTCCACATCACTGTCGTCTTAGAGACATTTGACAGGCTAAGAAAGGACTATAGTGATGCCTTTCCAAACACCAAACAAACGTAAACAGGGAAGCATCTTTTAATGGAACATGACATTGATTCTCCACGCATCTCCGGCCAAGTCCAGAGTCAGGAGCTAAAATGCTGACATATTTGGGCAGTTCAGTTTCCCTCTCTAAGGAAAGTATATAATATTGTGAGCATTAAAGGCTTAATAGCCAGCAATACCTTAAAAGGAATTGTGGGCCTTTAATCTGGCAATCTCTAAAGCAAGTCTCCACACTTGGCTCCAGGGACTTCGGCCAGTCAGCTCTGCATGGTGTTTTATTTCTGCTTGAACTGGGCACCATCTCAGGCCATATGAGTAGGAGGAGAAGAAGTAAATAGAAGCCACTTCCAATTCACAGCATGTCACCAGCTGCCTTTTTCTGCATGCTACAGCCACCCAGGAGGACTGAGGGAGCAAGGACTCTAATCAGTTTAGAGAAGAGTGCATGCTGATTATAGTCTAACCCAAACCTTATCAGAAACCCCTGACTGAAATGCTTCCATTTGCAAAATAATATTTACGAGGCTTCAATATTTGCAATATCTGTCTTCATTCCTCTGCACTTGGGTTTAGTTTCTGCTGCTTATTAGCCTAAAGACAGCTCTAAGTTTTTAATCACATTCTGTCTCGTGTGATTGGAGGGCCTGCTCTTAACACATTTTCAGAAGTCTTGAGGATCAGTCTCTGGCATGAATGAATAAATGGATGAGCTAAGTAGTGTTGGCAGGAGCAATGGGGTTTCAAGGCCCCTCCATGTGCTACAAGGATGGGTTCCTTTCCTCCCACCTTCTTTGAATTCCAAAAGGATAAATAAGATTACCCAACACCCAGTGTCACCACCTTCTGTCCTTTGTTTTCTCTGGGCACCACAAGGCATCCTAGCATGGATATTGGGTTTGGTTGAGCATTCTGCAGTTCGGCTGCACTTGTTTTCTATTTACTTCTTTGGCAATAACCCAGCACTGGAAAATACATTTTCCTGGATATGCTATGTTCATCTCTGGATCCTGTCATGCTAAGACTGTCCCACCTTAGACAAATGCACAACGAAGAAAAGAACTTATGGGCAGTAAACACTTACCGTGAGCCCAACATTGTGCTTTCTGCTTTGTATGCCATGTCTCACTGAATCGTCACATTTAATCTCCATGTGACAAAGACAGATGCTGCAGTACAGAGAAGTTCAAATATTTTCTCAATGTCACACAGCAGGGGAGGTGAGGGAAGCAGGGTGACCTGCTACGGCACCCACTGCCTCTCTTCTCTGTGCCAGCACATGGAGTTGGCCCTGTGCTGGGCAGGAGAGAGCAGATGTAACATGTGAGAAGCTCCTTGGCTCCTTAGAAAAAGAAACGATTATAAGAAAACATTGAACCTCGTGGCCTTATTTCAAGGGCAAGAATAGATGGGCTGAACCGTCCTTCAAGGCACTAATCACCGGGCTGCTACTCAACACCATGGCTATTATTGCTACTATTGTTTTCTGGGCTGACACTTGGCCAGTTCTTTTCCTCTCCACTTCCAGGCTAGTAATTAGATTTAAATCCTTGACAGGATTCCAACCATCACCCCAGGGGGGGTTCGAGATTTCTTTACTATTGCTTGCAAAGATTTCATTTGAAAAAGCCCTTTGAAACTGTAAGTTACATTCAGCAATAGCTTTTTAAAAATCTATTATCTTATTGGGCCTTGGAAGAACCCACATTGCTCTCTCCCCCTTCACCTCAGAGACCATCCCTTGTTTTCATTTCCAATTTGAAGAAATAATAACATCCAAGAAGACCAGAGGAGCGAGACTCATGAAATGTGGTTTATCAGCACCTGCGCCACTGCCAGGCACGACCTGGACAACATCCAGGGTTTTAGAATGTGTTGATTCGGGAACTCTGTCTTGTTTTTGACTTTTTAGAAAATGAATTTGTTCTGTACACTTAGTGAGAAATGATTGTGGTGATTTTGTTTCTGAGGGGAGCATGGGATAAATAACTGCTCTTTAAAGGCATAAATGGCTCTCCCGACCTCAGTCCAGGCTTGCTTTGAGTCAGACAGAGGCCAGGCTGTGTGGAGAGCTGCCAACCATCCCCAACCACTCTGCTTTCCTGGGACACCCACACCTACCCAGGAGCTGTGGGCATGGAAGCAGCTTTGCTCCATGCAAGGATACCACGGGCAGTTTCAATCCTTGAAAGAGTGGGACAAAGTAACAAGTAAGCCACTTCTGGGTTATCCCTATGATATAGAAATTCAATGGACTCCAAAAGTTCATGGGTAAGACATGGTAGACGATCCCAGCACTGCCCCTCAGTTGGTGCTATTCAGAATATCCATTCAATACTCCTCATTTTCCTTATCTGTAATTATTTTTATTTGAAAGACAGTTACAGAGAGAAGTTAAGAGAGTTAAAGATCTTTCATTCACTGAATCATTTCCCAAACAGCTGCAACAGTCAAAGCTGGGTCAGTCTGAAGCTTGCATCCTAGAGCTTTCTGCACATGGGTTCAGGATCCTGAAGGAGTTGGGCCATCTTCTGATTTCTTTCCCAGCCTCGTTAACAAGGAGCTGGATCATAAGGGGACTAGCTGGGACTTGAACCTGCATCCAAATGCACTGCAAGTGGAGGCCCAACCTACTATGCCGTGGCATTGACCCCATGTAATACTTTTCTAGAGACCTAACTACAACAGTATTTAATCTTACCAAATGTGATGCTTTGGAAACACTAAATTGTAACGGGTTTTTTTTTTGTATTAACTAATTCTTCTAGACAAGTAATAACTGTCTCACCATCTGTCAATCATTAAAATATAAAGGATTCATAACCTCTTTGACAAGTTTCTTTCAACAGAAATGAGAAAAAATGTTGATGCTTTTGGATACAACGGTCCTTTCAAACAGTTTGTAGAAGTGGCTGGCATTGTGGCAAAACATCGTAGCCTGTTGCTGTGGATGCCAGTATACCATATCAGAGTACAGATCTGAATAGTTGCTCCACTTTTGACCCAGTTCCCTGTAAATGTATCTACGAAAGCACTAGCTGATACCATATGTGCTTAGGCACCTGCCATCTGTGTGAGAGGCTCTGATGAAGCTCCTGGCTTCAGCCTGGCCCAAACCTGGCTATTGAAGTGATTTGGTGAAACAGTGGATGAAAAATCTATTACTCTGTCATACTATCTTCAAAGAGCTTGTGGAAAATGAGTTTTATCAATAAGCTGTGAATGAATTTCATATTTTTGCATCAAAATAAATATGTATATATTTATTCTATTTTCCATGAAGTTCCGTTTTCTGAAAGGAAAAGGGACAAAAAGAGCATAAGACAAAGGGACATGGACAGAGGGCTTCCCATTTACTGATTTTACTCACTAAATGTCTACAATGGCCAAGGAAAAGGAGGCAGAGCCTGGGCTGGATCTAGGTGTCAGGAACTTAATCTATGTCTTTCATGTGGGCAGCAGGAACCCAATTACTTAAGCCGTCACCTCCTCCTCCTAAGGTCTACACTAGGGAAGAGGGGAACGGGAGCCAGAAAAGCCATTGATGGAAGCCAGACACTCACATGTGAAATGTGAGCATCTTAACCAGCAAGCTAACTTCCTGCTCCCAACATGAACCTGCTGAAATGCCATCGTAAGTTTCTTCAGAACTGAAGGTAATCTTTCCTGCTTCATGTTAGTAAGCTGTTACTGGAACAATTCCTGTTTATAGTTTAGCTTGTACTTAAAGACATGAGGAGACAGGCACTGTACTGAATCCATGATAATCCAATTTAAAACATCCAAGCTAGATACCTAAACAATTCAAATGTGAGCATCAAATACTTGAGAACATTACAGTAAAGCAAGGTTTCTTCAGGTAACCAGATACATGTACTTGCTTAGCTGCGTCACCAAAGTGAAGTCATCAGAATCACATTCTAAAAATGTCTGGTTGATTTGGAGATGGAAATTCCCTAGAGAGTGAGACATATCCCCAAAAAGAGCCGTCTGGGAGGTGAGCCACCACAGGGCTATTCCTCTAAATAAGGCAGCAGGCTGTAGCAATGGGGAGAGCCAACGATTCAGTACTCCCCAAAAGAAATGCTAATTTTAATTAAAGGAGTAAGAAAAAATAGGGAGTCCCACAGTTGATATATTCTATGTTGTAAACAATACGCTTAAGCTTTTCAAAGAATTATTTGTTTAGAAAACACAATGGCTGACAAGCTGTTAGTTTAAACTGGAGGAATTTCTAGGCAATTCAAAGAACACTTGGAAGTGAAACTACTTTTTCTTTTTTAGAAGGCAGGTCAATGATCAAATATTATTTTAAGTAGAGTTGCTTGGAAGTCTGTTTCCATACCATGGTTTTATCCATTAAGAGAGCAATGGCAGCAGTTAAGTCTGTGAGGCTGGAATGCTGTCTGGCCTTATGATTGCCACCAGATTTCAGATTCTTCAAAAATAATTCCTACTGACAAAGTGGAGCAAAAACACCCTGTTTTCAGAACTGACTGCAGTTCTCTTCAAATGACTGAACAGATGATGGCCAAGTAGGTAGAGTCCATCAGCACTCTACTCTCATGAAGCCCCCTAACATTTTTGAACTGTCAGTAGCACTGTCTTCAACCCTGTAACAAGCAGCCTAATTATGTTAGGATTAACATAGTTAAATTCCCTGTGGCTCAGTGGAAGGGGACTAAGAGGGAAAGCTGTGACAGAGAGACTTGGGGTATAATTCTGGCACAGACTCACTCCTATCATCAAACAAGGCAAATTGTGGTTCCACCTCAAAACTACCCAAGACATCATGTCCTCTTTGGATGATATTGTGATAATCCATCATTTCTTTTTAATATTAATTTACTTTTGTTGGAAAGGCAGATTTACAGAGAAGGAGAATCAGAGAGAAAGGTCTTCCATCCACTGGTTCACTCCCCAAGTGGCCACAACAGCCAGAGCGGAACAGATCTGAAGCCAGGAGCCAGGAGCTTCTGCTGGGTCTCCCACGTGGACGCAGGCTTTTGGCTATCCTCTATTGCTTTCCCAGGCCACAAGCAGGTTGCTGGATGGGAAGTGGAGCATCCAGGACATAAACCGGTAACCATATGGGATCCTGGCACATGCAGGGGGAGGATTTACCCACTGAGCCATTGTGCTGAGCCCAATCCATCATTTTCTAAAGCTGTCAATCCGGAGGCCCACAGGTGGAAAGGTGCTGCACAAAAATGAAACTTGGTTACATTTGGAAACCTATACCTCTATGGGAGTTCTAATCAGGTGAGTACAATTCTGTACCACACAAAGCAGTTTTCAATGCAGGAGGCAGGCTATTAAATGCTTTCTGGCCTCCATTAGTTCCTCCTGCTGAGAAAGAAAAAATCCTCATTAATGCATAAAAATTAAATTGCCCATGAGGTAAGAAATGAGATGGTACTCTGCTGTCAAGTATTATTTTCCATTCAAGATGATTTACAATCACAAATAAAATGCAGAATCATTGAGTGCAGACTTGAAGGAATGCAGCATTGCTGGGAATTCTGTGTTCCACATCTCATGACATTGTCTTACCTGGTAATAAGCCCAGGATTGTTTCAGGTGAATTTGGTGCTGCCCTCTACTCCCAGCCCCTTTCATGTGGAGGCAATGACCTCCACCCCTGGGCAGATCTGGGAATTAACTTGTGTTCATCCGAATACCAGAGCTGCTTGACTTCAGAGACTGGGTCAGAGGTGCTAGCCAGCCAGAGCATCAAGTGAAACTGGTGGTGGTCAGGACTGCTGGGAATAGAAAGGAACCTTGTACATCCTTTCCACTCCTTGAATCTGTTAGACGGTGGTCTGGGCTGCAGTCAGTCGTCTGCCATCAGTGGACGCCTGGAAGCAAGGGCCGCTCTGAGGAGAGCAGAGGTGAAAGCTGCAGACCATGAGTGCTCCTGGCACTGTCTGCCGAAGGCCAGGTGTATGCTTCAATGTCAAGGTTCCATGAACCAACAGATTCCACGTTCCTTAGATGTAGGCTTTCCTTCATCTGCAAGACTAGTCGTAATTACTATCTGAATACAATGAAGATCCACACATTTCTATCTTGGGATAAACATATTTATCTCATTCTATAGGCAAGAAGAGCTATTGAGACATGGGTCAATGGCTTACCAGGGTAGGATAGCCAGCACTAGGACTCAGGTCTCCTGCTTTCTTAAGTGATGCTTTCATTATACCCTAAGAAAACTAGCTTGAAAAGTAATTACAAGACATCTTGGCCTCATCTAAAATTTTTAATCGAAAATACACTCCAGTTAAAAGTTCTGCACTGCATAGTACACATTAAAATACATTTATAAATTAGTATTAAAATCATTTTTGCACTGCTATATAGAATATGGACAACTATAATTACATTAATAAACTAAATTTTCATATGTGTGTTTGTGGTCTGCTGGAGCAGCAATAGAGATAGTCCAACAAAATAGCTTAAAATGTTTTATTAAGTATATATAATATAACAGGGAAATATTTACAAAGTTATGGTTTTAAATAAAAAAGTTTCTTGCAAAGATTGCAGATATTTCAAAGCTTCAAATAGTGATAAATTGATTTAATACACATTTTTAAAAAAAAAACCTTCAACATAGCTGTAAAATAACTTTGGTCTTTGTATCACTGCAAAAAAAAATGACTACTGACAAATTGCACACCTGTAATTGCTATGCATAACAGCCCTCCCCGCCAGGAGAGGGTCTGCAATACAGCAACACTGGGGCTCTCTTCATCTGGAATGGTTAATGGATATTTATATGTGGTGGGATATAACTCTCAACGATGGTTTTTAAAATAACATTTTTTTTGGAATAAACACAAGAATGTTTTCCTCTCTCACTAGCCATGACAGCAAACACTTTTAAGATTCCACTGATGTTATCAGGCAGGCAGAAGAGCTTGTTACAAATGCGTTCTCTTTTTTCAAAAGACTAAAGTTACAGGAAAGCTGCTCTCCCATGATGACAGCCAAAGCCAGGAGAACTTCCCAAATAATGCTTGCGTCTTCAGTGTTACCCCTTACCCCTATGAGTCACAGAAAATGACTCAACAAAGATTCTTCAGTGTGTTGTGGCAGTTAGGTGATTAAAAAAAAAGAGAGAGAGACACATGTTATAATTAACATTTCTACCAAATAAAATGCAGTAAAAAGAAAGTGTGACCAATCATTTCTCCAGTTTCCTGCAGCAGGTAGATGATCTTCCACATACAGAACCACCACTTTTCAATACTTAGTATAAGACAAAAGATATCCAGACAGTGATACAGAGCTTGTTAATTCTTATTAATGAGATGAAAGTGTGAACTTATCACTTTTTGAGCTTTACTGACTCAAATCAGAATTTGGTCATCTGGCTATAGAACCCTGAAAACAGTAGTATTTCCAGGCATCATATATCCCCATTATTTTCATTCTGACATTCTAAAGAACTTAAACAGAATGGACCTGGAGTCCCCAGGTGAAAAACCATCACCTTGTAGGGTTTTTACAGCAAGTGAAATCTGACAAGAAAGAAAACTCCTTAGCTAAAACTCTCTCTCTCTGTTAAAAGCAGTGGGAAAAATCTAAATACAGCCAGTTCTTATTAATCATCAAACTTATGTACTGAATATACAAAACACTGGAGCAACAGAGAAGGAGAAAGCTTTTGCTATGGAAGGCATTTTTAACATTGAATGAGAAGAAAGAGATGAAAAGTCAACACAGCTAAGCAAAGCACGTGGAGTCTGGGGGAAGATGAGTATAAGACGAAAGGGCAGCTACAGAGGATGGCCAGCAGAACCAGCGTCTGGAGAGGGCTGAAGCAGAATGCCTCAAAGGAGATTAAAATTTTGATTAGATCAAGAGTGGGAAAGTTGTTGGAGAATGTGACAAATGTGGGGCCGGTACTGAGGCACAGTAGGTAAAGCCACCGCTTGTGATGCCAGTATTACATATGGTTGCTGGTTCAAGACTTGACTGCTCCACTTCCTCTTCAGCTCCTTGTTAATGGCCTGGAGTAGGCAGCAGAAGACGGCCAAAATGTCTGGACCCATGCCACACATTTGGAAAACCTGGAAGAAGCTCCTTGCTCATGGCTTTTCCTGGCCTACTTCCAGCTATTGTGGCCAAACGAGGGGTGAATCAGCAGATGAAAGATCATTCTTTCTTATTTTTTTTCATCTCTCCCTCTGTGCAATTCTTTCAAATAAATAAGTAAATATTTTTTTTAAAGTACAAATGGTGCCAACCTGAAAATGTATAATAAATACAAGCGAATGGAAGAGTTGATGGCAAAAACTGGAATCAGAAAGCAAAATACATGTTATGCTATGAAACGTAACCGATATATGATATTCAAAATATTGTCAACAATTTAAATTTTGTGTGATGGAACTAAGAAGCATTTTTAGCTTGAATGAAGAGAAGGAATTGGCTCCAAAATGTTCAAGCAAAAGGATACCTACTACTGTGGTCCCTTATCCAGAGAAGTTGACAACTAGTTTAACACAAAGTGTCTTTACTCTGGTATTTCCCAGCCACTCCTGGTGGCATGGTTTAGGGCAGTGAATGCCTCAAAAGGCAGGCAGTATTAAAGAGAACACGATGGATTACAAGATCCAGGAGTGCATCCCAAATAAATGAGTGTGTACTACATATTAAAAGGTAAAATTTTAGTTTATATAAAAAAATTTACTATAAAGATTTTCCTATCTGATTTTCTTAATACAGAATACGAATTTCAATCTTGTCAAACCCCATCTGCATTTTTCCTCCTTTTATTAGAACTGGTTACTAAAGTAACAAACTATGTTAGCAAAGCATAAGCATTTCCAGAAGGAAAAACAAGAGGAGCCATGAGATGCAGATAATGGAATACAGCTCCCTCCATATATGCTAAGATTTTGGACAGCTGCCCCAAAAGGAACGGATGTTCTTTTCCTCAAGAATGTGTTCAGTTTCATAAGAGGCCCTCAGCAGGTCCTGAATGAATTTGCCCATAGCAAACTATATGGTCCCAAAATGAAATATGACACTAAATGTGGCATAAAAGAGGCACATGGAAACATTCAGTGGACTAACAAACAACCATTATTGATGCAAGTACAAATACGGATGTCTTATTACTCAGATAAGAATTACTAGTATTTTTAGAGGGTACTGACGAGCAGTCAAAAAGTTTGGCAAATTACCTAAATGTTTATAAATGTTTACGTGATCAAATATTTGCATCATATATAATTCCACCCAACACAGATCTTTGTTTTCAAATGTCTTCACTAAAAGCACAAAATCAACATTTGTTTTCCTGCAGGTACCCCACATTTGTCCATACAGAAGATGCATGTGCCTGTCTTATATATATATTTATATATGCACATACAAACACACACCCACAAACGAGGTAAAAAAAAAAAAAACAAGTGCTAAGAATCTAAAAGTACTCCAGGCGATCACAACTGTCAGAATGTTAAATTTTCTTCTATCTGGGGTAGGACAGTCTTAGGGGAAATGGGGACATGAGGCCGGACTACAGGAGGAAGGTGGATGAGTGGTTCTCATGCAACAGATACAACAGTAATAAAACCACCCTTTCAGGGCTTGCCCAGGGGGCCTGATGGAGACACGTGGCCATGCAGGAGACTCCAAGTCAAAATTTCAATCTTGCTTTCTTTCTCATGCCCCCAATTAGAAAAGAAGTGAAGAAACACTGCAGTCTTTTGCCTTCAAATCAGAGGAAGGGAATACATATGTTACAACCATAGCTATTTTTTTGCTGCAAAGCGTGAACACAGTGCTCTGAGACCAATCCCAGCTCCTTCCTACCACTGATGCTACTGTGTCACTGGACCATGTTCAAGGAGGAGAAAAGGTGCTACATCTTGTACAGCAGAAGCAAATAACAAGAGGACAAGATGGGGGTAAAAAAAAAAAAGGGGGTTGCATTAACCAAAGAAAACACAGCCATAAAAAAATGACTCTAAATCCAGAAAGGACCAGTTACATGGTACATTGAAAGGGGAGTGTGTGAATGGCAACCCCCAAGAATGGAGACCACTACCTCCCCATCAATATCATGTCACATGCACGTGGCGTATGAAATATTTTCAGTCAAATTTTTGTCTGTACTGAGTTCATGATTCCCTTGACCCACAAGTGGCAGACACTTTATTCAGCTGACACCATAACCAGCAAAGCTGCTATCAACCTGAGTTTGCTGGGGTTTCATGGAAGCCACTGGTTTTCATAGAGCTCCCCAGGCAACCACTAGGTTAGTGCTTGGGAATTCTCAATCAGAACCCACCTAAACGAAGAGCTAAGAGGGCTTAGTATCTAAAAAACATCATTCTTGGAAGTTGCCCCCTCTCTTTCCCCCTAATTGCATAAAAAAACAGCAGAAAGCTGTATCTCAATTGGGTACACAACACAAATCATGATTCTTTTAAAACTAAATTACACCTGCTTTGAATTAAAACTTAACTGTGACAATCACTTAAAGGTCAATGACTTATGTTCTCCCACAGATGAAAACCAGTTGTTTTCTTCTCCATAAGAGTGAATCATCAAGGCTATGGTGTGTAAACACAAATGTATTCCTTTCGTGACTTCCTGCTTTCCAAATCGAAGTCCATCACTTCATTTCAGTTATTCTGGAAAAGTGAAAAATGGAGATATAATCACTGCTTATGTCACTATTTGGGTGTAACTTGTGTTTATTAAGAAAATGAGAAACATCATTGTGGTGCAGCTGAATGAGATGCTGGCAATCCGCCCTGGAGTATGAGTTATACTTCTGACTATTTCTAATTCAGATTCCTGGGCAGTGTAACGTGGTCCAAAGACTTTGGTCCCTGCCTTACACGTGGATGATTGGGATGGAGTTCTTGGATCCTGGTTTTGGCCTGACCAAACCCTGGTCATTGTGAACATCTGGCAAGTGAACCAGTGGATGAAAGATGGCTCTCTTCTTTCTCTCCCTCTGTTGATCCACCTTTCAAATAAATACATAAATTTAAAAGAGAGGGGCCCAGCGTGGTGGCCTAGCAGCTAAAGTCCTCGTCTGGAATGTGCTGGGATCCCATGTGGGCGCCAGTTCTAATCCTGGCAGCTCCACTTCCCATCCAGCTCCCTGCTTGTGGCCTGGGAAAGCAGTCGAGGACAGCCCACAGTCTTGGGTTCCTGCACCCATGTGGGAGACCTGGAAGAGCTTCTGGCTCCTGGCTTTTGACCGGTGCAGTACTGGCCATTGTGGTCACTTGGGGAGTGAGCCATCAGACAGAAGATCTTCCTCTCTGTCTCTCCTCCTCTCTGTATATCTGCCTTTCCAATAAAAATAAATAAATCTTAAAAAAAAAAAAGTTCACTGAGTATTTAAGAAAAAAATTTAAAGAGAGACAGGGAGGTTAAGAAATGGAAGGGGAAGAGGGAGGACACCAGGCCTGCATTCCAAGCTGGGTTTGCTCCTGATCAGCTTCCTGATGATGCAGATCCCGGAGGCAGCGGTGATGGCTTAACTGATTAGGTTCTGGTCACTCATGTGACGTATGTGGCCTGAGTTCCTACCTCCGGGCCTGAGTCTGTCCTTGCCTCAGATGCTGCAGAACCTTGGTGAGTGAGTCACATTCTGTGTATCTTTGTCTCACAAAGGAGACAAACACATTTGCCTATATGTTTAAAACATTTTTTGAAAAGAAGGAGCTCTAGGCCTGACGTGGTAGCCTAGCAGCTTAAGTCCTCAACTTGCATGCGCTGGGATCCCATATGGGCACTGGTTCTGATCCCATCAACTCCACTTCCCATCCAGCTCCTTGCTTGTGGCCTGGAAAAGCAGCCTAGGATGGCCCAAAACCTTGGGACCCTGCACCTGCGTGGGAGACCTGGAGAAGGCTCCTGGCTCCTGGCTTTGGATCTGCTCAGCTCCAGTCGTTGCGGCCACTTGAAGAGTGAATCAGCAGACAGAGCATCTTTCTCTGTCCCTCCTCCTCTATATATAACTGACTTTGCAATAAAAAGAAATCTTTTTTTTTAAAGGTAGCTCTAACAAAAGAAATTGAGGTATTTAAAACTTTGGAATGGTTTCAAATATTAGTATCTAAAACTAAAGACAGCAGATTTGCAAAGGTCAGAGATCAAAACCAGGTAAATCCTCAGTCTTCTTAGTTTCAGTAAGTAAAAGGCCAAGGCCAAACAAAAATAAACAGCCTGATCATCTCTGTTTGCTCAGTTTGCTAAGGGAAAAGCAAGAGACCTTGATATTTCAAAGCAAACAACACCAACTCTAGAATAGTATTCTATCACATTTACTTTAAATCCACACTTTTTTGATGTAATGAAATGAACACAGGTAAAACAGGAGGGTACTGACTAGAACACTCGGGAAGGCATCTGGTACCTCATTCACTGACAAGAACAGTTGTTATTAACAAGGGCCCATTAAAGAGATGGAGAAGAGGGATTGTGAATAGCTAAAATTAGCAAAATTAAGGGAAATTACAAAGGAAATCATAGAGTTCATGAGCTCAAACACAAAAATATTCAAGGCAAAATGACTCCATGCAATCTCCTGAAGCAGTGGTTCAACAAAACAAAACAAGCAAACTCATGCTGCAAGGGAAATTAATTCAGGAAGAGGAACTCAAGGCTCTTACACTGGTTTTCTGAAAACAGAAAATTTAGTTTCTTCACACAACTAACAGAGAGTAAAACGACAACAGGAAAATAAATTTTAAAAGATAGGACACTAGAATGGGGATATGGACAAATCGTGCCACACAATTCCACATATTATTTTCAAATGTCCTTTTTCTACTCGTAGGAACTGTAATTTTTTTTCTGGGTGTCAGGGAGGAAGGAAGGCAAGCTTGAATACAGAGCGTGATTTTAAAGACTGTGACCCAAATCTACAAACGTAGGAAGAATCTGAGGCCCTCCATAAACAAAAGCCTAAGCATTTTAAACGTCATTCAACAACATATGATCAGTAATGTCAAAATGCACTGCACTCAAGTAATATAACGATATAATTAATATAGCCTTCTGTGCTGAATGCTTTGATTTGTTTTGGTAGTAAGCAGGAGGGTCACAGACTTTAAACAGTAAAAAAATAAAACCAAAGTCTTGGCATGATCAAGGAAAGGCTGTATCTACTACTATTTGTATGAAGAAATGTTTTGATCATATGGTAACACAAGCACCTAACCATAGACCAACAGAATTAATGAATCACTAGCATGTCAAGGTGAAATCAAAATGAAATCAAAATGAAAGCTACTCAATATCTCAAATCGTGTAGCTTTATGATTCAGCAACGATGTCTTTGACATAATCAGTAAAGATGCAAAGTTATCATTAGTCCAAAGTTTCAAAGAAAAAAGTAGCAAACATTGGACTGGCTAAATATCTTTTTAATCCTCTCCCAAAAGCTAAGACAAAATTCCTGCTTGGCAAAGCAGAGATATTAAGCTCCATGGGTTAAATGCAACAAAATCACCAACACAAGCACAGAGAAACTGTCAAAATGATAAAGATTGATGGCACATTATGTATGTGCCTTGAACCAAGCATTACAATCACCAGACACTGAATCTGGAATGTATTTTACAGCGTAATCATTTCTCTTCAGATGACTAGAGTATCTTCTTAGTCACATCCACAGCTGGCATAGAAGTTTTGTAACATTTAGCAAAGTTGATTTACATGGATCTTTATGATTTGACAGTTTCTTTTATTAATGAAAGCCACACTTCCAAGAAACTTGCTCCTCTGTTTTGAATGTCCACACTCTAACTAATCTGTAATTACAGACACTGTGTATACTCACCATCATTCATCATTCCTTTCGATTCTTTAAATGCTAAGGGTTAGTAACAAGCAAAGCAGACAATTAGTAAGGTTCCACAGTGAAAAACCACGTATAAATAAGCAAATATGCCGTAATACCACGCCAACTATTCAGCAATCAAAGAGCCAAATTAATTCCAAGGCTGCCACATTATTACAAAGCTGTTCTGTGAATTACACTTACAGCACTCTCAAAGAAAAGACTCAGTTAAGAATATAGAACTGGATTCACACAGAAAGAAATCAAGACATTTTTAGTCTCACTCCATGGGCAGTGCGTTCATAAAATTTATACATCAGAAATTAGAGGTAACTGAGATTCTTGTCTGTTGTTGGACTATTATGCTTTACCTAGGCCAATAAGAAAGGGCACTGGTCCTCCTGCCCAAGCATTCACATCACTTGTCTAGGATGAGCAACTACTTGAGAGAAGCAGTGCATTTTTCCCATAAATGAGAATAGTACAAGTGCAGTTGCTCTAATTCTTGATGAATAATTAAGAAAAGGGAGGTCTTAAGGCAAGACAGAGCAAAATTATTTCCAAGGCATAGACAGGGTATTTTAGCCATTTTGAGATCCAGTTAAAATGATGATTTGGTAATGAATCAAGGAAATACAGAAGTATGTAACAGCCACATACCATTAAGTGGTTCCTCTACCGCTTTCTGGAAAATATTTAAAATATATTAACTAAAAATGTAACTTATATCCTTTTGTACTGAAACTTATATATGTTAACATTTAATTTATATAATACATAGAGAATCTTTTAGTTTAAAAACAAAGTAAAATAAGTAAAGGCTAAAGCACAGCTTGTCAAATCCAGTTAGAATTTTAATAACGTGTTATTCCCTTAAGAATCTTATTCTGTGCAGAATTTCTTCTACCCCGCCTGTCTCAGTAAAAGAAATTCTAGCTTCTAAAAAAATTAAAGTATAAAAATAAACCAAAACAACTGAGTAAATAACAGTAAAACAAGAGATGAAAACAAAAACAGAATTAGTTTCAAGTTTCATGCAAACTCAGCTCAGTGACTAGAAAAGGTATTAGGATATAAAGGCTCAATGAATGGACTGTCTGTAAAAAGCATTTAGAGCTACCACCTGTTTTTCTAGAATGAACCCTGCAGTGAGAGCAGCACACTTTACCTCAGCCTGCTCTGGAGGCCTGTCTGATGAACCCTGTCAGTCCATGTAAGCTCCACTTTCCACCACTGACAGAAGCTGCTCTATGGGGTTCCAGAAAGATCCCTCCCAAGCTCTTTATGGAAAGCAGAATATAGTATCATCCATTCTAATTCTTATTTTCACCAACTAGCCTTTGAGCCTGTCACCATGATACCAGGATTTTCCTCCCTCATTTATCTCTACCTACTTATGCTCCTTTTCTTAGAATGTTCTCTGATAGCTTGGAAAGCATCCTAAGTAACTGATAGTACAGTTTTTGAGAAGAAAAATGTTACTGGGGTGGGGGTAGGGGTGGAGATGGGTATAGATAATAACTCAGGACAGATATTTTCAGCATTATTTACAACCATTTAAAATATAATCTTAATGTGTTTAATAAAAAAAAATCTGTCTTCACATTTTTAAGCCTGAAATTGGCATTTTGTGTGAACAACGAATAAGTCTGGTAGATAAGGCAAAATATTAAAATCTGCTTATTTCTGATAAGAGTTAATAACCAGTATTTCAGTACATCAATGTTCCCATTTCACTTGTGAGAAGTCAATGCAGTATTAAGTAATCGCTTATACCATCCTCTTGATGCTAAATAATCAAATAGATTTTTCAAAAAAGTAAAACAGGATCAATTCGTACAAACATTGTGGAATGATTTCAACATTATCTTAATTGATGTTACAATGAATGATACAAGAGTTCCACATTCCAACGACTTATTCCTTGGTCTAACCTGCCAAATGATAATTCCTAAGCCATTTAAGAAACTTCAACTTACCCTCGGAGGCTGTATAGTCTTCTGATTGGAAGCTGATGTAAACAAACAAAAAATAAGAATAAAAGTTTAACAAAAGACATAAATTGAGAGAATGTAATGCTTAAATTTTAAGATAACATGTTCAGAGCTTAAATCAGAGGTACAAGAGACTAAGGAAAGAATTCCATCTTTGATAGCCTACTTAAAAATACACATTTTTTTATTGTATGAAAATTAAGCAAATTTGATGAGAGCAGCACACTTTGCCTACCTATAGTCAATAATGAACATACACACACATTCTTACATTTGTGTGTGCCACCTGTCCCTGAAATAAGTCATTTTTTACATTCCTTGATGGGAAAATGTTGTCATCCACTCACCCTCATCGTGTGCTCTTCATCACTCCCCACCCTTTGCAAGCTAGAATGTGGGAAGGTGGAGACTCACTGTTTCTGTGCTTTGTAGCCCAGCTGCCCCTGCCTTTTGGCAGTTCTCAACACTCCAGAGTTAGCAAACTAAGGAAAATACCCAGATCGCTCTGAGTTTTTCTAATTAAAACCAGCTATTGCTACTGATAGCCTCAATCACGCCCTCCTCTGTATTTTCCTTCTTATCTTTCTAAGTTGTCCTTTCTACTGCCTCTAAATACATGAGTTGACCAAGATGAAATGAGTAAGTGGCATGAAGAAAGTGACACAAGCAGAAAGTACTACTGTGGCTGGAAAGGGAAAAAGAAGTAACTTCTTCCAAAAACTAAGGAGGCCCCAGAGCAGCAAAAGTTAGTCTGAAAGACAGAAACATAGTCTTCCAGAGTCAAAAGCATTGATGGAATCGCTCAGTAGGAGGGGGTGATCCTGCTGGATGGAGTGCCCAATTCCACTGTAACCTGGGCTAAGTGAATGCATGGGTTTGCTTGCCAACAGATGTAGGCACAGCCCTGGGACAGGTTTAATGATCTTCGATTTTTATTTACTACCACTCACCACCTCAGCACTCTAAGCTTCCTAGGCTCAGGAGAAACAGAGGAGGCCCACGATCAACCAATCACCAACCTCACAGCCAGAAACTGACAAGGTCTCTCAGATGGAAAAACGATGACTGATCAACTGATCGGCCTGTTGCAATTTTAAGGGTGTGGTGGGGCGGGCACAAAGAAGACTAGAAAATTGGTAACAGAAAGGCAAAGGAAAAGAAACATAGAGAAACTGAGCAAGGGAAGTTCAGAGTTTAGGGCTATAGATAAGAAATGCTATCAGTGAGAAAACATGAACAGGATTAAAACATAGAGACACAATGGAGAGACTGAACTAGCTAATGGGCATCCAATAAAGACAGAAGAACTCAGTAACCATAGCCAGTGGAAGGGTATCAGCCAGCTTGTTGCTGAGTAGATAATGTGAAGCTTCAGTCCCTAAAGATGTAGCAGATGTTTTTGACTGCTAAGCTACACTCCCTCTGCCCTCATGAGATTTCTGTTGGTCTCCGTTGGTCTTTGTTGGTAATGTGTGGGGGTTTTAAGGAACCTCTCAATGGAGACAACTGGAGCATCCAAACAAAAAGATAACAATCTTTTGTTTAAGGCAGTGTAGAATAAAATAGAGCTGGGAATATACATGTATCACACTTAATAGCCTCCAAAATAAACCACATAGAATTACAGAACTTCACTGAGACTACCAATGTAAGTTACATGTATATACAACTCACTTCATTGAAATAAGCCATGCTCTGTTGTGCTATCAGTGTCAATACAACAAGGGAACAGAGAATTGAACAGCTACCTAAATTTCCAATGGGTAGTATTAATTGTCTGAGATAAGACTCTAGAGTTATATTTTTGAGCTCATGAATTTATCAAATTTAATATCAAGAACTGCCAATAATGTATAAAGAATAATTTTATATTCAAATTCTCAGATTCAAGGAATGCCACATTTGGCTAGCTCCTTCTGAAAGAAGAGATCCATGAACAGTGATTCCAAAAAAAAAAAAATACCAGTCAGCTGTGATATGTTAATAATACTAGAAAACTGAGCAGGGTAGAAGTGAGTTTCACCTGAACTAATTCTGTGCAATAGGGATATAATGTATGTAATCAAAGAATGATTATAATTGATCTGCTGCTACATGGCCAAAGGTTTCAGCAACTAACCATAATTTCTTTTAAACCATGAGCCTGAAACAATCCATATGTGCTTACTTGCAATCCTTCTTTCTCTTACTCTGACCACATGCTATAAATACATCTCAAGGTTTTGGATTTTTCAAAAACTTTTTATAGTGATTCAATTCTCATAAAGAATGGTCAAGAAAATAGCTGAATTAACCTATGTTTATGGGGAAAGGAAATACAGAGACAGAGAGAGATGGATGGAGGAGAGATAGAGGAGTGCATTTATGTCTATGTACTCACTACATTGCACACTTGCATTTTCGAGGCATTGATTGTTACTACATCGGTTTCTATCGAAATACTATTATATACCCTTAAACTGATGATATATACCCTTGACTGACAATGCCTTTTAAAAATGATCAAGTATTGATCCTTGGATATAAGCACTGTATACAAAAGAAGCTCAACTTTACTGAGTTTCTGTCAGTTCCTTTAAGTTTGTGTATGTTGTCACATGAAATCATTGTTCCCAGGCTCTTATTTTGCAAATCTAAAAAGCACCCAATAAAAAGAAAAAAAGATGTAGTTCAAAAACGGTCACCACAGAAAGTAAAAATCAAAATCCTCCCCTTTATGATAACAATTAAGGCTACAAATTTAAACACTGAGATAGTGAAAATGATGAAAGTTGAAATTTTCATTCAGATACTGACACATACCTGAAGAGAGCACTTTTTAAAATTATGAGCATTTTATTGAATTTACATCAAGACATTGTCATTAGGCTGTTCTCAAGCAGAGTACGCATAGAAAGCAAAAATTATTTTGAAAACATTTATGGCTGTTATTTCATGAGACAAGAACTCCAATCTGTAGCCTTAATGTTGCATGTATTCAGATTTATATCAGACTATATAAACACATTAATTTTTCTAGTCTAGCATATTTTCTATAGCAATTTTCTTGTACTTTTTCTCTTCTTGCCTTTCAACTGACCGAAGGTGTTTCTCTGAATTCTGGCATTAGATAAGTTGATTTGAAAAGTTAATTTAGGATACTTTCAAAATGTTAACAATGCTGTACAAATTCATAATTTACATATAGTGCACTTCATGTTAAACTATCCTAAAGAAAAGACAACCTAGAGTAGCTTCAAAGATCTCCCTTTCATTTATATTTAATGCATAGTAGTGGCATTGCAAATTACAATTCCACAGGCTTCCTAGGGACTTACATCACAGAAAAGGAGGGAGGGTAAGGCCACGGGGTCACAACTATTACAATGCCTAGGCCCACTCAAGGTAGCACAGCCAGAACAGAGGGAAACTCTTCTGAACATCATTTTCTTTTTTGGGCCAGATATGGAAGACATGGGGATGTATGATGAACAAAGGGAAGGCAGTCCATAAAGACAGGGGGAAATAAGAACAGAGCTGACCACCAGCCAAAGGCACCTGATGTTACTCCAAGAGAACTGTATGGATACTGAAGGTCACATACTATTCTCAGTCATTCATGGGAAACAGCAACGCCAAAAATCAGACACAGGGAGATCAGAAGAATCAACATTCAAGATGCACCCTCAAGCTACTAGCGAACTCCATCCTGGTTTTAGACACAACAGTTGTGTTTAATGGATTTAACACGAACAAAAAAAATTTTTAAATGTCATTGAGAAACAACTACTGAACACATTAAACACAGGTAGATTTTGATCAAGTATTTTAAACATTTATCTAATAAATATTAATTAAATGGCCTTTTAAAAGTTCATGTAAATAAAACAACACTTAGAGTTCAAACTATTTTGCACTAAAATAAGATGGCCTTTTAATTCCCATTTTCCACAAAGTTTTTGAAGGACTCTTGAATATAACAGAATTAAATTTAATTATTAGTCCAGAAAACTAAAATTCAGAAACAAAGATATAAATTTCTATGGATGTATTTTACAAGTAATATGGAGTTTTCATTGATTATAACAATTCAAGTATTACGTTAACTTTAAAAAATACTTATAACATTAACATAAGATAAAGCTTAAATACTAATTTTTTTATTCTACTGACTTGTCGCTTTTGCTTATTTTGACATGTTCAAGAGTTTACTGTACTTCAGAAATAAAGTGTACATTTTTATAAAGGGAAATCAGTATACATCATATGGCTGTGAATATCTTCAGGTACCCTGAAGAACAAAAATAAAGCTGCAAGAATTGTAATCCCAGAACTCAAGACATTCTACAGTATAGTGGTCATTAAAACAGTCTGATACTGACATAGAAAGAGAGAAGACTAATGGAACAGAAGAGAGGCAGAAGATTCCAGAAGTGAGCCCACACATGTACAGCGAACTAATCTTTGATGAGATAACTGAAACTAATCCAGAGAAAAAGGTGGGTCTCCCCAACAAATGCTGTTGGGACAATTGGGTAGCAGCCTGCAGAGGTAAGAAACAAGACCCCCATCTGTCACCTTTTACAAAAACAAGCTCCACATGGATCAAGAACCTAAATCTACACTCAGAAACCATCAAACTCTGAGAGGAAAACACAGGAAGCACTCTACAAGATATAGGCATTGATAAAGATTTCTTAGAAAAGCCATCGAAAGCATAGACAAGCAAAGCCAAAATAAACACATGGGACTCTACCAAACTAAGAAGCCTGTGTACAGCAAATGAAACAATCCAAAAAGCAAAGAAGCAACCAACAGAATGGGAGAAAATCTTTACACACTAAACAACAGATATGGGACTAGAATCAGAAGTAACAAAGAGCTTCAGAAACTCAACAACAGTAAAGCAAATGGGTGTAAAGAAATGGGTGAAGGAAATGAGCAGGTATTTTTCCAAACAACAAAAAGAAGGGTTAATAGATGTATAAAACCGCTCAGCCTCCCTAGTTATCAAGGAAATACAAATAAAAACCACAGTGAGATTCTACCTAATTCCTTTGAGGCTAATCCTACATTTTCAACTCTACTAACAACACCTGGTGTTGTGGATGTTGGGAACAAGGCACCTTGCTCCACTGTTGGTGGGATATCTCAATTCTCAGAAAATATGAAATCTCCATGAGACAGTTGTCTTCAACCTTATATTTACAGCAGTGTAATCCATAACAGTGAAGACGTGGAAACAACCTAGATGTTCATTGAAACAGGAATGGATAAAGAAAATGTGGTGCATCTACTCCATGGACTACTACTCAGCCATTGAAAAGAATAAAATTTACCATATGTAACAAAGTAGTCCAAACAGAAACCATTACGGTCAGTGAATAATTCCAAAAGGACAAATACCATATGTTCTCTCTGATATAAGGCAACCATGATGTGAAAACACAAAACAAACAAAAAGATATATAGGTAATCATGTATATGCATATATTCTCATAGGTGAACTGTATAATGGAGACCAGTATATCAGGAAGTGAAGATACATTGCAGTATCCATCTCTATTCCTGAATTAAAAAAGGAATCCCAATGAAACTGTTAAATATGCCTTGGCAGTATGACACTAGACCTTTTTATTTATTTATTTATTAATATTGCCTATGCTTATGTTGCCATGATACACTTAAATAGCAGAATCTTTGACTTGTGACTGTGGCTAAAGGACTACACTCCTATAATAACATAGAGTAAAACAGTGGTTGGGGAACAGTGAGGGAGGAAGGAGAGTGCGGCGGGGGGGGGGGAGCGGGGAGGAATCCCTACACCTGTAAAACTGTCTCATGGAAAATAATAATTTAAAAAGCAAAATTGAAAAAGATAACACATTAATTTTTTATTCAGTTTTGTAATTATCTGTCTGGGGCAGGTGTTTGGTAAAACAGTTAACATATCCCTTGGGATGCTTGAAATCCCACACTGGAGTGTCTGCTTTCAGTCTAGGCTCTACTCTCATTTAGCTTCCTGCTAATGCTCATCATGGAAAAGTAGCAGGTGACACCACATATACTAGGGTTGTTGTCACCCTGCGGTAGAGCCGAACTGAGTTCCTAGTTCCTGGCTACAGCCTGGCACAATCATACCTGCTGTCAGTATTTAGAGAGTGAATCAGCAGACTGAAAAATTTCTGTGTCTGTGCTCGTCTTTCAAATAAAAATTAAAATCAATAAACAATACATCTCAAAAAATAATTTATGTAAAAAGTCTTATCATTTTTAAATTGATGGATTGCATACAAAGGTTAGAAATAATGAAACTCCCTCCACACTGGTTTACAGCCTTGTCTAAAATCTTGAGGAATGATGTTGTGTTTTCTTTTCCTACCTGCCATTTCTTGAATTCTTTACCTAATGGTGTGTTAATCCTGTGATTGTGAAATGCTTACGGGAAGTGAGCAGGAGGAAGTGTTGGCTGAGAGGCATCACTATACTTGTAAATCTGTATTGTGAAATCCCATGCTTTTGGTTTACCCAGCGTAAGTAACATAGAATTCTAAACTTATAACATACTTACTTCGTTAGTTTTAACTAAAACATTCAAAGTCATGTTAAAGATCACTTGCTATTCGCATGAACAAAACTGATAGTTTTTGAATTTCAATTCCTATATTCTAAAGAGCATCCATGCTCATAAACAAGGTGCAACAATTGTGACAAACAGGTCTCTGCAAAAACTCTACCACAGAAATAACGGGACCATTAAGAATCCTTTTATATTATTAAAATTTATCTTTGTATACAGCATAAAAATCTACATATTTTAATATAGAGAGCCAGTTTTTAAAATCAGTTTATAATAGAAGCTTTTCATTATTTCATATGTCTGCTACCATGCTTAATAAACTTTCATATGTCTGCTACCCTGTTTAATATGCCTCAGGTCATTCCAATAGTATACTTTCAATTTTTGAGTTACCAATATATTTCATTAGTCCTAAGCTAGAAGAGGCAATGAAAAGTATTTTTCATTTTTCATTTTTCAAAAGCATAAATTTGAGATTCTTGGCATGAGTTAAAATAAAATAAGACTGACTTACCCACAAATTTCATATAAACTAGTCCAAGTAATTCTGCTAGAGCTATGATACCCAGACCTGAAATCAGAAGGGGGCCATGCACTGGTACACAGGCTGCAAGAACAAATGAAAAACTTTTATTAGAAATGAATATAAAATAACTGAATCTTTAAAAACAATCTATAGCCATAATACCAAGTTTTAAGGTAATTCTTTCTATAATGATCCAGAAGAAAAATGACCTATGTATATTCATTATTATTAACTCAGTGAATTGGCTCCACATCCTTAAGAAAATACTATCCTAGGCATGACAGCCACTACAGAATCTCAAAACTAAAGGAAAATTGTATGTACAGTCCAAGTCTCTAGCCAATCGGAGCCTGGTCATTTTTTGAAGTTATTCTACAAGCTCAGATAAGGTAGTTTGGCTGTCAGAACAATCAGTTCACAAGCAAAGTACAGTCATCCTGGTTGCAGCAACATGGAAACCCTTACTCTCACTGGGAGAAAAATGAGAGTTGGAAAATGTTACGGCAGCAAACACCAGCTATTACATGCAGAAACAGGAGCTCTTATTTATTGCTTGCATACTATAACTCAGTACAGTCTTTGAAACACAGTTTGTCACTTTCGTAAATAACTAATACATCCTTAACAAACCATCCTGCAATCGATACGCCCTGATATCTACTCACATAGAATAAAACATGCACAGAAAAGTTTGTAAGAGCTTCATTCTTAGTCACAATTGAAAGCAACCAAGTTGTCCCTCAATAGCCGAATACATAGACAAACTGTGGTACATCTGTACACTGGAACATTTACTACTGTGCTGTGTGATGCTGGCAGAGATTGTGGCTAGGTACGGTATATGGAAAGGCTAAGGGGAAAAAAAAGGAACTCTACACTCTCCATTCAATGTTGCTGTAAACCTCAAACTTCTCCAAGAAATTAATCTGTATATTACAAAACAAGAAGGAAAAGAACAGCTGTGCCCTAGGGAAATTCAAACCAGGTCTACAAAATGGTGTGACCCTTACCCATGATACAGAGACACAGTCCAACCACTGCTAGCACGTAGCCCAGCACCTGAGTGATCAATATGGCAACAGTGAAGGAGGACATGCCAAAAGCTGCAGGAGAGAGAAGTGTACACAAGAACATTGAATATTTAGAAGGAAATCATTTTCACTCACTTCTGTAGCAATCAAGAATAACATTCTATGATGAAAGACTGATTCTGAAGTTCCATGTCAGGTGGCCGATGCTTTTCCAGGAATCTAACACTGCCAGATTTACACATTCAGCAGCTTTCTATTGTCTTTCAGATGAGCTGGTCTCTTAGTCTTACAATCTCAGGACAATGCTGCTTTAGCCACATTTGTGCATTTTACAATAAGGTCATTATGCGTGGCTTCTCCACATGCACACAACACTGCTCTCCATGGGTAGAACCCCATGCAAATAAGTGGCCACGAATATCAGGACCTCCAGCTTTTGTTTTTATAAACAACTGCTACCTCTCTAAAGTATGGTGAGCCAGAAATTGGCTGGAAGCCTGAGGGTTAAATCTGCTTAATGATGAGGAAAATATATTGGTGGTTTACTCTTGAAATGAACAGAAAACTTCATTGATTCTAGTTAGTTTAGTCACACTATCGTTCAACAGCGCAGTGTCAAGTTCACAATAACCAAAAAAAAAAAAATCACGTTTCTACTATTTTTGATTACTTCATTTTATACAATGTAGATGGTTAGCAAATACACAGAAACCAGTGTTTGCCATCTACTGAAATCTTCAGAAACTAAAATTAGAAGATGAAGATAATCCTTTAGCAATTACGTAACAAAATTTAAAATCTTGCTGACTGTGGGTAAGCACCCTGGCAGAGTGTTAAGCTACCACCTGAGATGTCCCTCTCTCCTATGAGGGCGGTCTGAATCCTGGTCACCACGCTTCCGATCCTCCCTCTTACCAAAGGGAGACAGCAAACCATAGCCTGAGTACTTCAGGGTTCCTGCACTGGGGAGGGGATGCTGGATTCTGCCCTGGCCTGGCTCAACACTCCCTGGCTACTGTAGGCATACAGGGAGTAAACCAGGACATGAAGATCTTCCTCATTTTTTCCTTTTCCACCTATCACTCTTGCCTATCAAACACACATTTTAAATATATTACCTTAACAATAAACATGTATGTGTAATGACTAACTTTTTCTGACTGGCATCAAATACACATGAAAATCTTACAAAATAGTTAAATGTCATGAAGATCTTAACCTTCAAATGAATGATATGGGGCAGTGTCACAAAGAATAGCCTGGAAAACTGTTTAGGATTCCCCCACCCCTCTCAAACTTTTATGTATTTATTTAAGAGACAGTAAGAGACACCATGCTCCAGTTTGCCAGTTCACTACCGAACGTCAAATTTGAGGATCCAGAACTAAAGCCAGGTCTTCTCTGTCAGAGACAGCAGCTCAGTTACTACAGCCACCGCCGCTACTTGCCAGGGTTTAAACTGGCAAGACACCAGGGTCCGGGGCCAGAGTGAGGAATCAGACCCAGGCATTCGAATGTGGGACGCAGGCCTCTCCACTGACACCTGACAGGTAAAACGTCTGTCTGGCATAGACATAACTTTGATTTAGCTATAAAAAAATATGCAAGAATATTTCACCAAAATTGTCATTTTCTTAAAAAATGAATAATGATACCCACCTGTCATAAACACATTATACTGAAGTGATATTAATATCCCTGTAGAAATTACAATGAAACCAAGTCCAGAAGCATTCTTTATTGAATATTCACCTGTTAAAAGATAAAAGCATTTAAAATATCTTTCTGCATATTTCCTCCTCTTCAGGAAGTTAAAATGTTTTACATATTAAGTGTATTATGATTTCAATATACACTCAAAAAACTGTGAAAGGCTTAAAGATGTCCTTCACGCAAAATGAGTGTCTACATTTGCTCATTTAAGATTAAACTTAAGCTACATAAATCTCAAAATTTAAGCCTCAACACGTTAAAATCCTGGAATGGTTCTATCTCCTTCTTAGTTCTTCACAGAATTCTAAATGAGAAATTCTGTAGTCATCTTTAACATTCCTTCACTTTCTATATTCTGGTCCCAAGTCCAGTTAATTGCTCTTTCAAGTTGTCCTCGGTATCATCCCCTCCTTTCCCATGTCCTTACTAACTCCTAGAGGCAAATTCAGCTGCCAAATTTATGTTGTTAAACAACCATCTATGCTGAATTACTCACATAATGCAACGGTGGCATTGCATCATCAACGACTTTGCACAGTAGCCTATCTTTGCTTTTCTTTCCACGTGCTACATATCTTAAATACCCACTCACATTCATACTCCCCAAACGCCACCGCCATTTCAGACATTCTAAGTCCCCACATTCATTCCCATTTCCATGTCTCAACTAATGAAATCTGCCTCTGTGGGCTAAATGGTGGTCCTAAAGATAGTCCCACTTCCTGGCCCTGAAGTGAAACAACCTTACATAGGAGAAGAGCCCAATACTATTTGGCAAAAGATAGGCTTCTATGAAGAATCTTGAGCAGAGGAGCTTATACAGCATTATACTGCCAAGATAACGTCCTTGCATCAGAAGCAGACAGGGAGGTGACAGAGACACATGAAAACAACACAGAAGAGATGAGGAAGGACTGGAACCACCCAGGCAGGGGCTGGAGGGAACACTGCCACAAGCCAAGGAATGCCAAGGGCTGTTGGCAGACACCACTAGCCAGATGAGGAAGGAATAGATTCTCTCCCGTAACTTGGAGAGGCAGGGCGCCTCTGAGGACATGCTGATTTCAGGCATAAGGCCTCCAGAACAGTAGGAGAATTTCTGCTATTTTAAGCCACCTACTTTGCCACAATTTGTTAGAATCCTAACAAACAAATACAACCCCCTCCTTTGGGATGCTCTCTCTACATGCTGCATTCCTTCACAGTAATGGCACATCTTACCTGGGACAAACAGGATTGCTCCAACAATGACAACTGTGGTGAGTAGTAGTCCAGCAATAAGTAAAAAAATGATTTTCTTATTTGTGCGACTGGATTTATACTTAAGTGCTTAAAAACAGAAAGAATTACATGAAGTCAATCACAAAGGAAGACACTGTTGAAATTTATAAGGTGCGGAGACAAACTGAAAACTCTATGTACTTAACTTGGGAGAAACAACTCCCATATAAATATGGATGCTCAATGCACAGGTACCATCTTGTTCACTTGTAGTTTAAAGAACAAAGTTTCATACAATGGTGTTTCTCAACAGAGGTATTACTGGCATTGTGGCTTAAGTCTTTGGGGACTGCTGTGTTACATAAGAATGGTGAGCAGCAGCTTTGCCTTCTATGTGCTGGATGCCAGCAACAGCCTCCAGTCATGTCAGAGTGTCTTTGAAGCCTTACCAATGTACTCTGATTAATAAAATCACCCCAGACAGACAATACAATGTGGATGAAATATTCCTGATGGAAAAACTGGTTGATTAATAACACCGAAGAAGAGTTTCTCTTTATACAAAATTAATAACACAGGATATCTTGTTATTTCATTTTGAAATGTAGATTGAACTCAGACAAATAACACCTTTTGAAATCCTGATAGAGGAAAAATGATTAATATTCTCAAGTAAAGTGTTTTAATAAAATAAATCACAAACACCCAATGGTATTCACTGCTCATATTATTGTTTCTGATACTAGTTCTACTGTAAAATACTCAGCACTCTCCCTGGAAATGATATAATGGATAAGCCCCAAATATTATTTCCTTGACCAAACATCAATCTTGCCTGTTTTCGTTAATATTACAAGTAGTTTTCATCAAACATGGTTAAATGCAATGTAAAAGCAGTCTGAGTAGCAGAAAGTGCTACTGAATTCTGCTCTGTGTTCTTCTCACATGAGTATTCTGCATGCCCATAATCAAGGGGTAGCCATCATAAAGGAAGTGATACTGAAAATATTATATTTATTTAGGACTTAAATCCCCTTCACCAAATTGTCATTTCACCAGAAAATAACCCCCTAAAACAACCATGCATGATAGATAACATGTGTATTTAACATATATAGTAGCTATTTGAAGATTTTTGATTATCTGCCCATCTACCCTTTAGGTGATAACCTCAATTTTAGTCTCATTAGGTGAGATGGAAGCCTTAAGTACTAATTCAGTCCTACAACTGAGTAACTGGAATCCACATCAGTTAGACAAATTCATGGCAATCAGAAAGCACCCTTTAGCAATCTCCTCAAAAGTTGACTTGGTTAGCTAGTTCCATGCAGCCTTGGCATCTATCCTGACTGCTACACAGCCAGATCCCTACTGAATCAGGAGACACAGAACTTTTACAGCTTGCCCTTTTCCAGGCTCACAAACTGGCTGGGATGTTTAGGCTACAAAAGGCACTGACACAGGAAAGCACTTGCTGTAAACTCTCATCACATTGTCCACTTAAACCTATATGTCATCACCCAAAAGTTCTGCAAAGACCTCCCAAAAAAGGAGTTGCTGCAAATGTATCCTCCAGTCAGTCAAACCTTCATAAGAGGCTATTCCAGGTAAACTCACAAAGAAGTCACTAAAATCAAGCCAAATAATTTGTCCTAAAATGCACTGCAATTTCATACAAAAAGGCTGGCTTATTTCACTCTAAAAAAAAACCAAACAAACAAACAAAAAAAACAAGTGTGAATCTTCTATAAAATTCAATCTCCAGGGCTGGTGTTGTAGCAGGGCTGGTGTTGTAGCTGTGGCCTACAGGACTGGCATCCCACACAGATGCTGGTTTGAGTCCTGGCTGCTCCATTTCCAATCTAGCTCCCTGCTAATGCACTTGGGAAAGCAGTGGGAGATGGCCCAAGTCAGCAGGCCCTTGCACCTACATAGAAGATCTGGAAGAAGTGCCTGACTCCTGGCTTCAGCCTGGCCCAGCAGTGGCCACTGCAGCCATTTGGGGAAATAAACCAGTGGATAGAAGACCTCTCTCTCTGTCTCTCTGTCTCTGTCTTTCTTTCATTTCTCTTTCCTCTGTCCCCTTTCTCTTTCTATAATTATTTGAAATAAATAAATTTTTTAAAAGTTCAAGAAATAGGAGAAAATAATGTCAATGATAGGAATAATAAAAGTAAAATATCACAAAATACTGCTATTGACTTGTTCTATCATAAAATGGCTCTTTCCCCTTGAAAGTAAGTATACTATATACTAGAGGTCGTTTTGTTTATCAGTTCACCATTAACTATTTTCAAGGTTACTTTTGACTTTTCCTTAAATTAAACAATCGTTTCTGATGAACATATTGGTGGGACCTACTTAGGCAGCCATGGTGATAAAATAGTATCTCCACATTTTCTTGAGTCAACCTTTAAAAAGAGTTTCTTCTTTCTTTCTCTCTCTCTCTTCCTTTCTTTTCCTTCCTTCCTTTCTTTCTTTTTTCTACAACAGCCACAGTCCAACAGGTACCAGAGCAAGTATGAGGGAGCGAGGTTGCTGTTAGCCCATTTGTCACCTTTCTCAGTAAAGCGAACAGGAAAGGTATCTGATACAGATGGCTTAGAACCCAATAAGCTTGAGAATCTCTGGTTCACGATCATTTCTTGTCCTTTTGTGTAAAGATTTATCCTCATCAGATTTATCAAAACATTAATGCAACAAAGAAAATAAATTCAAGCTATTCTCCAATCATTTAGCATTAAGATAAACACAATTTGATGTGTTTCTAACAGCAGGCTCTTATCAAATTTCTTGGTATGATTTTCTGGCTGGTTGGCATGCCAAGCTATGCAATTTTAAAAATCGGCATGCTTTTAAAGACTCCCCTTAGCTACAACTACTGAAATCAATACACAAAATAGTTTGTATGTGAAATAATGGTATTTACATTTCCAACAACCAACTTAAAACGCACATGCTGCCTGGTACAGGAATACTGTATGCCTATAAATAAGGACAACAAAAACATTTGCGTGAAAAAAACTAGGAATTCCAAAATTTTCCTTTTATATCTTCTACAAAATAACTAAAGATAGCATATTAGTTCTTAGAAACATGTAATATTGGTTCATTCATTAGTTCCATAAATATATACTTTGTATCTAAAATGCTCTATGGGAATTTTATTGGAAAAATTTAAGGAACAAGGAGAAGAATTTAACAAAAATAGCACTATGAAGCTATGCAACAATCACTAACAGTGCTAACACTGAGCAAAAGAAGCAATCACCAGAAGGTTGCCTTGAGTCTCTTATAACAGGTGAGGACAGGTGCTCGAGAAAGAGTTTGTATGACAGGTGAGAGGTGTTATTCCTGCACTTTTTCCTCCTGCTAAAAAAGGTAAGGATCTGCTCTAAGAAATATCATTTGCTTACATATTCAATCACATTCATGTGCATGAAGTAGCAACATACTCCTCTACCCACTGTACAAATAGCTAGCATTACGAATCAAAAGCAAGGCTTTCTGGTCTCTTGTGGCTGATGGAGAAGACATTTATAAGACAGAATACAGGTTGTCACTGGTGAAATCTGCTGAACTTATGAAGTCTCTACGGGGATAAAATAAAATCTGTCATGCTCAGCCTTTCATGATTCTGCAAAGACTGTATCTGAACACTCAATAGACTGTAGTCCATCTAGCAAAATTTCTAAGTCCAAGAATGCAACATTTGCTCAAAAAAACATAACATGCATACAGTTCCAAGTCAAGTGGTCAGTGAGTCAGCTCAGAGGTTGATGGCTTACTAGTGAGATACAATAGATGTCAAATTACTAACCAATTGCAAAGGAAGTTGAGTGATTTTAGCATTACAGTTTTTGTAATAACTCTAGCAAACTAATTTTAGAATCTGTTGAGCTATAAACCAATACTATCTCAATGAAGGATTAAAGCACATCTAATGACTTTTCAAATAAAATTAGAATTGCAAATTTTTATTACTTAAATTACTTAAATTTTTAAAGATACTCATTTAAAAGATTCATGCATGCGCACCAATTTTGTGAAACTAGTATTAGAGAAAAATGAATATTAATAGCAATTATAAACTGGTTGTTTACCTTATAATAAGCTTCATACACTATCCAACTTGCTTCAATAAAATGGTCTTGTAAAAATGATTAATGACTAGACATCACATCTTCAATCGATGCCAACCAGAAATAAAAGAGCCCAGGCTTTGTGTAGCAAAGTGCTTGGAATATAAAAGATCAAAGAAAAGGATGTTCAACAGACTTATTCCTTTTTCCTGTTCCAAAGTTTCCTTGGCTTTATAGAAGGGATCACAGTTTCACAGTACATGTAGTTAGTTGAACGGCTGGATTTGGAAAGGGTCAGGTTAAGAAGCAACATTCTGACAAAGGAGCTATAACTACATTCAGATCCTCCTCTAGTGAGATCAGCTCAGACCACTACTTAATAGCACTGTGTAATCACTATGTGGTCAGATCAAGGGAAAGTGCTGATAGCTCAAGATGGTATCAAAGAGTGAACTTACAAAGTCCTACATTATGGGTCATCAAATAGATCACAGAATCACTCTCTCTAATAATATTTATTATGACATTTTGCCTTTGTGGATATCCATTTCCTAGTATAATTTAGTGTATGTCCTCATTTCTCCAGAATGATTTTTTCCACTAATCTACCAAGAAACTTCATGCTTCACTGCTTTTTGAAAATGTGTTTTCACCAAATAATTATTTTCACTACCAAGCTAGTTTTTAAATTTAAACTCAGGGGCTTGGCTGGATCTTAAGGCTGCTCTGATAGTGAATTTTTCCAGCAATGCGTTTCACAGGAACCATTTCTCAAATCCTTCTGAAATACTTGAGTAAGGATGAGAAAGTTAGAAAAGGAAACAGAATGGACAAATTCGAACTAAACTGTAGCAGCCCTCTTTCTGCACAATTCTAATATGCAGGAATTCAGGGTACCACCGTTTAATCAAACAAGTTCCCCCCAATAGTTCAAATTTTAATTACCACAATATATTAGCTGAGTATTGCTGTAAAGTACAAATTCCACTGCTATCACCTCTTCAGTCTGAACATTTTCATGTAAAT